TTAATGTCTTAGCTTATTGGGGATCCTGAGACAGTTGGGTTGAATGTAGCAAATTCACAATGCACCAGCCTCCAGGGATGGAGACGTGGGAACAGGAAAGGATGCACAGCCCTTCTTTCAGAATTTCAGTCCCTGAAGCTGATAATGAGAGACTCATGAATATGGTTTCATAGGAGAGATGGGATTTATAAACCAGGGGTGAAGTGCAATAGTAGATGAGTTATGTGTGCAGTGTGCTGTTTCTCTCATTAATCTTCAGGAGCCAGGGGACCTCCCGGAGATATGGGAGATACGGCCATCATTTCCAACAAGGGGAAACCTGGCAATCCCGGGCCTCCTGGAGATGATGGGTTCCCAGGAGAGAGAGGTAAATGCTTAAGGTTTTTGGCTTCATCAGATAAGTTGATGTTTTATAGATCATTCAGTGGAGCCAGTATATGAGGCAACTTTCTCTCTAATAAGGAACTAATGAAGGTAATTTCTTAGATAAACTTTCTGGTACCTTCTTTGTATTTCCATACTAAACGTACCTGACATTCATATGTATTTATAGATATGGATATTCCAAATGAGAACTGACATAATATATACATAAATTACTGGTTCCAGGTTTAAAGTGCCTCTGTTTGGGGCATTTGGTATTAAAATGAACAGCACAGAAACTCCTGAGGCATTTTGACTCGCACCTCTCAAACATCAGTGTGTATATGAATCATCTAGGGATCTTGTTTAGGTGCAGATTCTGGATCTATGGGTTTGGAGCCACCAGGGACCCTGTTTTCCTAACAAGTGTCCCCAGAACATGCTGCTTGGTACTCAGCAATATGGCACAGCAAGGATTTTACAGCCATGTTTGTATTTTTGCTCAAGTTCAGAGTTCATTTACATGAGGCTTGGGTTACATCTTGACTTCCTCTTTAGTTAGCTGTTAGGGGAAATGCTTTTATTTCTCAGGTTTGAATTATTCCTTGTAAGATGAGCACTTTGGAGCAAATGCCTGTGTGTTCCCTCTTCTGACACTTGTCCCTGAGTATTCCTGGGTAGTGTCTTTCACAGTGAGGTCACCAAAAACAGAAATCACACAGGTGCAGCTTAGAACAGAAGCCAGTATTCCCAATACCTTTGACTTCATCTTTGCTCGTAGAACCAAGTCATTCAGTATAATTATCAACTAGCTTGAGATTTCATCCAAAGGGTCTGTAACATCTCCAACCTCAACAGGTGATAAAGGAAGTCCAGGAATGCAGGGGGGAAGAGGAGATCCAGGAAGAGATGGACCTCCTGGCCTCCATAGAGGGCAGCCTGGGGGAAATGGTCAGCCTGGACATCCTGGCCCCCCTGGCCCGCCAGGCCCACCTGGACTAAGAGGAATCATTGGTTTTCCGGGGTTTCCAGGTGACCAGGTAAGGAGCCACTTCTTCATGGGGGGAGAAATAAACTCTTGCTGCTCTCAGGATCCCAGCAGGACTCAGAGTTTGCTGATATATTTCACTGTCCTTTACCATTTGTTGGAAGGTAAGAAGTAGTGTGAGGGAAGATTGGAGCTTTCTAGAAAGTACTGAGATTTATGGGAGTGTTCAGTAACTGGCTGTCCTGCTATAGATGGGCAATCATGTGATCTGTATATTCCATCCCAGGTTTAAACAACTCCAAACAGACTTGCCTAATGACTGATGATGTGCTAGAATTCACTGTCCTTTACCATTTGTTGGAAGGTAAGAAGTAGTGTGAGGGAAGATTGGAGCTTTCTAGAAAGTACTGAGATTTATGGGAGTGTTCAGTAACTGGCTGTCCTGCTATAGATGGGCAATCATGTGACCTGTATATTCCATCCCAGGTTTAAACAACTCCATACAGACTTGCCTAATGACTGATGATGTGCTAGAGTAAAAGAGTCATCTGTGGGGCTGCTGAGATGGCTCAAAAGTTAAGAAGAACTGGGCCTCGGTCAAAGAACCTACATGGTAGCTAATAGCCAGCTGTAATTCCAGTTTCTGGGGATCCAACAATTCAATACCCTCTTCTGGCCTCCATGGACATTACACAAACATGGCACATTTCCACACATGTGGGCAAAACACTCATACACATAAAATTTTTTTAAAATTCAAAAACATTTTTTAAAATAATGAATTTTTTTTTAAAGTCATCTGAAAACCTACCCAAATTCTGATTTCTAAGTCTGTCCATCTTTTTGAAGATTTTATAGATTTTACTTTAAATGTGCTTGGTCTTTGTAATCACAGGTAACATATCTCGTGAGAAGCCACAAAACATGACAAATATATTTATATCATATTTCTGAAAGATGTATAAAATCGTTGGCTTTCCATCCTTTGGACTGAAATGATTTTAAAGAACATACAATTTAGTATGTTATAATACAACTTTAAATAGTTTTTCATATCAACTTGTTCATTCAAAATTTAAAATTCAAATTGTCTGCTATAATTGTTCTTTTGTAATCGTGCATAGCGCATGGGGTTCTTCTTGTTGGGATTGATAGCTGTAATTTTGGAGGTGTTTTACCAATTTTATAAAGTAGACATGATTACTAGTATGCTTAGAACATTTTTTCAATTTTATTTACCACTGCCAGTTACTAAAACCAAACTGGTTACAGAAAATTGTGACTGGATCAGATCATGCCTGTGCCATTGTATTGAAAACCAAACTAAGGTCATATTTTTGTTCCACCAAATTTTCAGGGTGAGCCGGGTTTGCCAGGCCCTCCTGGATTCTCAGGTGATGATGGAGCAAGAGGACCTCAAGGTATGGCTTGGAGATGTAATCAACATCTATCAAACTTAGAATCTTGGGAGGGGTGCTGGGGGGGGGTTTATAACATTGTGAGAGAACATCTTTTTGCATGATAAAGTGCATCACATAAATTGAAACACACAAGTGACTCTTAGATTCTTCTAGACATTGAAATGCTGGCGATTCAAAAGGTTCCCATTTTTCACTCAAGTCCAAGGGTACCAAATAGGAAATAGCATGCCTGCAGGCTTGTCATGACTTCCTCTCCAGTGGAAGGTCTAGAGGCAATTCATGTAGTGACCACAGAGTCTCAACTGGTGGCTGGTATAAGGAGCTCAGATTCAGGAATGTGGATCCTGTCAACCTTGGCTCAGAAGCCTGGTATCCCATAGGAAACAATCTCTTTTCTAAGGACTTCCTGAGTTCAGCTATTGGGATTCTAGTTATGAGAATCATAGTGCATAAATTCCTGCCAGGTGGTAATAGTTTATTTAACAATTTCCCAAGCCAGATATAATTTATAATTGAATAATTCTATCCTTAATCAAAGATCAGAAATTTCTTTTTCCCTAAAGGGCCATTCACAATTTTTTAGGGGGGACATATGGTCTCAGTCCCAACTGCTTTGCTGAGATGTGGCAGGAAAGCAGCCACAGACAGTATGTGACCAAAAGCACAGGGTTGTGTTTCAATAAAACTTGATTTATAAAATTGCCGCAGGCTGGATATGGCCCTACAGGCTTTAGCATAGCTTGTGCTCAAAATAATGCTGTCTTGTTAACATAACTGACATTCTCCTTCTATCAGGATTTAGGGACACTAAAATATAAAGATAATCCAAGGTTTAAAAAATGTCCTTTAAAAAAGGGAGCTTTGGTCTAGAGAGATGGTTCAGCAGTTAAGAACACTGGTTGCTCTTGCAGAGGACCCAGGTTCTGTTCCAAGCACCCACAGAGCAGCTAACAACCATCCCTAACTCCAGTTTCAGGGGATCTGACACCCTCCTCTGACCTCCATGGGCATTGCATGACATGGGTGCACTTACATACATGTAGGTAATACACTCATACACATAAATTAAAATAAAAATAATAAATAAAAGTTTAAAAAAGGAGCTTTTGTTAACCTTTTATTTTGACAAACAAGCAAATAAAGTCATTATATCTTAAATGTTTCCATAAAGCTTTTAATAGTTTATCCTGTTATATCATAGGATTAATACTTCTATTTAAATCTACTTTAAAATAACTAATTGTTTTAACCTTAACCTTAAGTTCACTATCTGAGAATTCAGTTATGATAGCCAGTTATATATTAATTTTATACAAATTAAAGTAACCAAGTTTAGAATCTAAGGTACTAATTAACAAGCCACCTTAAATCTTTTTCCATTCATGATCATGCTTTCTGAGAGACACTGTATGAATAATTTGACAATTGCTTTAGGAAAATGTGGTCTGTGCATGCTTATTTACCCAGCAAGAATAGTCTAGACCTCGTCCTCATAACAAGGGAGCTTTTCATCTTTGATTTTAATGTCTGGCAGCTTCTGTGTTCAGAGCTCATTCTTCTTCTGCTTTCCCATGGATTTGCTAGGGACTATCTGTCCATCACACAGCACAGAGCTTCCACTTCCTTCATCCTTGTGTTGAGCCATGTTTGGAAGGATTTGAAATACACTGAAGATGCTGAGAATAAAAGAAATTTCACGGTGTCCACAAATAGGAGATGCGGTTCTGCCAGTTCACACAACTAACAGGACCTAGCCGTTGGCACCTCTGACGTCTCACCTTTCGCCATCTTCTGTTTGGTTTTCAACCACCTGGCTTCATCATTCTCTATTCAGTATCTTTCCTGAGTCTTTCTGGATATGATTGGATGGCACTCCAACACAGTGGGCATCAGTGCAGTCATGATAATCCTCTTTCCCAACCATCAAGGATCCCCACTTTTTAAAGTTATGACTTGGGATGGATCGGATTCCTATCCCCCGAGCAATTAGCCATGAGATGAGCAGAGTCAAGTGGAGCATCCCTCTTCCAAGGCATGGCCTCTCAGAGGTGAATGTCAATAGGCCAGTGCTGTACATCATGCCTGTTCTAGGAAACCTTGATCTCTTGTCTACTCCCTCCCACTCGCTCTAGCTATGAAGGTCTCTGTTTCTACAGACACATGCAGTACTGTTGGACAGCTTTGTGGGACCCTTAGAGCCATTGTCCCCAGTGGCCGTTGAGTGTGTCATGTCTTGTCCAGTCTTCTCTACTACACACCTTTGTGTACTAGCTAATGCTCTCATCACTATAAGAAAATATCTGACAGAAGCAACCTAAGGAAAGAAAGATTTGTTTTGGCTGGCAGTTTAAGAAAAATACAGTCATTCACAGAAGGAAGGCGTGTTGATGGGAGGATGAGGCTGGTCACAGTGCGTGAGCTGGGGCGCCGCTGGCTTCTTCCTTCTTCTCTTTTCATTTAGTCCGGGACCCGTGAAAGGCTGCCACCTACATTCTCCTTCTCCATTCAAACCCCTCAGTAAACACTCACAGACACACTCAAGTGTGTCTCCTCAGTGACTCTACATCCAGGCAAGTTAACAATGAAGACTGACCTTTGTGGTTTTATTTTTATAATAATGTAGAATAAAGCTTCCTTGTAAGAGATCTTTCTTTCCTTTTTATTGAACTTTTGAAAATTTCATACATTATATTTAGACCCCCTCTGCTCTCTGTACCCCTCTTATAGCACCTCCACAGGATTTCATGGACTTTGTCAAATATATTAAGGCCTATCAAGTCAAGTTTGTGTCCTCAAATATCCTTTGATATGCATCCATCCACTGGAGACTGGTTAACCCATCCAGTGTCATGCCCTTAAAGAAAACCACTCCCTCTCCTAGCACGTATTGGTTGCTAATAGTTCCTCAGATAAGGGTGGTGCTTTTTACCCACTTTCCCACTTCTGTGCTATGATTTTGTCTGGCTTGAGCTTGAGTGAGTCTTGTGCATGTTGTCACCATTGCTGTGAGTTCATATGAGTAACTTCCCAGGTGTCTGGAAAACTCTGTTTCCTTGTGGTCCTCCATGACCTCTGGCTCTTACAATCTTGCTGCCCCCTCGTCTGCAGTGGGCCCTGAGCCTTGGGCGGCAGAGGTTTGATATAGGTGTCCTATTCAGGGCTAGGCACTGGCAGTCTCTTATTCTCTGCTGTTTGACCAGATTTGGCTTTCTGGATTAATCAACATCTGTTGCATGAAGAAGCTTCACTGATGAGAACTGAGAAATCATTAATACTTTTTGCATCCCCAGGTCCACACTGTTTCCTGAGCCTTAGGTGTAAAGATTGCATCGTAGATGTGTCACTTAGGAATGGGCACATCACAGACACTTATCTCTGCATTTGACTAGTTCCAGTTGTGGAACTTTGTAAGGGTCTCCACTTGCTTCAAAATGAAGCTTCTTTGATGAGTGGTGAGAGTACACCTGTCCGTAAATATAAAAAGACATACTTAGAATACAGTAAGAAATTGGGTTGGTCTAGGTATATGACAAAAGTGGGTTTTTCTCTAGGATCTATGACTTTTGTAGTCATGTTGTTGCCCGAGTTCTCTTAGGTCCCTGCTCCTGGTGCTATTAGACAAACCATATAACACATCAATATCTGAAGTTTTCATAGTTTATATTCAAAGCAAGGAAATAGAGTAACTTAGAAAGGTGAACACCTGGCACCCCGTTGTGCACTGTGGCTCAGTGGCCCACAATTCCAGATTGCCTCTGCGCCCTGCCCACAGTCTCCATTAGCTTTCATCCATGCCTTGTGGGCCTGTGGTCTTGCCCCGGGTTGGTAAATGGCCCCTCTTGCATCCACGTGGGTGAGACACCAGGGCCATTTTTTTGCCAGGCCACTCACTGCCAAGATGGCGCCAATGCACCTCGCACCTCCCTCATGGCTAACTCTCTGCAGCCAATTCTCTGCAGCAGGCCCCGCTACTTGGAGGAACATGTACCCCTTGGGATACACATGTGAATTGGCTGTGTTTACAATGCCACACATGAGTTCCCTACAATTGAGCCGGCCTTAACTCCAATTAGAAAGCTGTTGATCACCCCACCCCCACCCCAATAAATGCTACAACTGTACCAGTAGGGCTTGTTTGTTGGGATGGTCGTTGTAGTTCATAGACTTTACAACTGGATGGGATCATTGATTGTTTTTTCCATTGGCAATTTCATAGTATCTTCTATGAGATACTGAGAGAGCTGGTCTTCAGGGAGGAGGCTTCCCCAACAGTTCTCATTCAATTGCTCCAAGTCCTGTGTCCTAATAGGGTCTGTATTAGTTACTTTTCTGTTACTGTGATAAACACCATGACCAAGGCAAATTATAAAAGGAAGAGTTTATTTGGCTTACAGTTCCAGAGAGTGCATGATGGCTAGAAAGGCATGGAGGCAGGTGGCTGGAGCAGACAGCAGGGCACTCCCATCTTCAAGAAGGCACAGGAAGCAGAGAGGGACTGGACATCTGGCAAGGCTAAAGAGCTCTCAAAGCCCATCCCAGTGATGTACTTCCATACCTTCTAAAGCCTCCCAAAACAGTGCCACCAGCTAAGGACAAAATGTTCAAATACTGGTGGCCTATGAGGGACATTCTTATTCAAACCACCACACGGTCTTATCTTCAAGTTCTGGGAGGCAATCAAGACAGGATATACTTCGAACACAGGACTTGAAGTAATGGAGCTGGAGCTGACATGGACGCCTCCTCCCTGAAGACTAGCTCTCATCATTTTAGAGAACACTATGTAAAATGCTAAGGGAGAAAAATCGATCCGTGGTTCAACCCCAGCTTTGCGGCCTAATAACCACAACAATGACCAGCACAGGAAACTGTACCAGTGCAGAAATCTTAAAGTCGTTTTAATTTGCATTTCCCTTTACTAAGGACATTGAACATTTTTAGAGGTATTTTTTAGCTATTTTATTTCTTCTTTGAGAACTCTGTTCAGATCCATGGCCTATTTTTTTAATTGGATCATTTGTTTTCTTTTTAAATTTTATTTATTATTTTGTATGTTATGTGTATGAGCATATTGCCTGCAGGTATATAAATGCACACACGTTTAGTACCCATGGAGATTAGAAGAGGGGATCAGATTCCCTGGAACTGGAGTTACAGATGGTTTTTAGCCACCATGTGGGTGCTGGGAACCAACACAGATCCTGTGCAAGAGCAGCCAGGGCTCTTAACCACTGGGCCGTATTTCCAGCCCCTGATTTGTTTTCTTGATTGTCTTTTGAGTTTTTTTGTACATTCTGGAATTTAATCCTCTGTCAGATGTATATCTGGTAAAGATTTTCTCCCACTCTCTTCACTTGATTGGTTGTTTCCTTTGTTATACAGAAGTTTTTTAGTTTAATGAGGTCCCATTTGTCAATTGTTGGCCTTAATTCCCGTGCAACTGAAGTTTGATTTTTAAGGTCTTTTCCAACATTTATCTTAGAGGGTACTGCCCGTGTTTTATTCTGACAGTTTTAGGATTTCAGGTTTCACATTGAGTCTTTTGATCCATTTGGAGTTGATGTTTGTGCAGGGCAATGGATATGGGTCTAATTTTATTCTTCTACAGGTGGAGATCTAGTTCTGGCAGCACCATTTGTTGAAGACGCTGTCCTTCTTCCAGTGTGTGCTCTTGGCTCTTTTGTCATACCCATATCAGGTGGCTGAAATTGCCTGTACTCACGTATGTGTCTTCTCTTTTGTTCCATTGATCTACATGTCTGTTTGTGTGCGATTACCATGCTGTTTTTATGAATATAACTCTGGAATATAATTTGAAATCTGGTGTGGTAATCCCCCCAGCATTACTCTGTGCTCAGGAGTGCTTTGGCTATCCAGGGTCTTTTATGAGTCCATATGATTTTTAGGACTTTTTTCCATTTTTGTGGAAAATGTCATGGGAATTTTGATTGGGATTGCATTGAATCTGTGAATTGCTTTTAGTAGGATGGCCATTTTCACAATATTAATTATACCAATCCATGAGCATGGGAGGTATTTCCATCTCTTTATGTCCTCCTCAATCTTTCTTTGTTTTATTTATTATTTTTATTTTATGTGTATGAGTGTATTGCCTGCATGTAGGTAGGAGCACTGTGTCGTGCAATGCCTGCGAAGGTGAGAAGAGAGCATCAGATCCCCTGGAACTGGAATTAGGGACAGTTGTTAGCTGCCATGTGGATGCAAGGAATTGAACACAGATCCTCTACAAGAATAGCCAGTGCTCTTTACCACTGAGCCATTTCTCCAGCTCCATATATAGATTTTTTTTTTTTTTTAGGTATTCCTTTATAATGTTCTAGATCTTTTTGGAGTCTGTTGTGACCTTTTGTCTCTGATTTTGTTGATGTGGATTTGCTCTTTCTTTTCATCATCTGAGCTAAGGGTCTATCTTGTTTATCTTTTCAAAGAACCAGCTCTTCAATTCATTGATTCTTTGTATTGTTTTCTTTGTTCTTATTTCATTGATTTCTGCTTTGATTTTTATTATTTCTTCTTGTCTGCTGGGTTTGGATTGGTTTATTCTTCCAGATTCTCAAGTTATACAATTAAATAATTTGTACTCTTTCTGATTTTTCGATGTAGGCACATAGAGCTATAAACTTCCCTCTTTGGATTACTTTTAATGTGTCCCAAAGGTTTTGCTGTGTTCTGTTTTAATTTAGTTCCAAGAATATTTTTATTTCTTTCTTGATTTCTTCTTTAACCCATTCATCATTCAGGAGTGTGTTGTTTAATCTCCAGGAGCTAATGTAGTAACTAGGGCTTCTTTCAGTGTTGATTTTAAGCTTTATTGCATTGTAATCTGATAGAATACATGAAATTATTTCAATTTTTTTACTTGCTGAGGATGGTTTTGTGCTCAGTACGTGCTCTATTTTAGAGAAACTTCCATGGGTTGCTGTGTAGAATATGTATTCTTTGGTGCTTGGGTAGTATGCTGGTTTGAATGAGGATGTCCTTGTAAGAGACCTTGAAATGCCATCACAGAGGCTGAAACAATGACAAATTCTGTCTTTGCTTCTAAAATACAAGGGTAGAGTTACCCAGGGTCATATAATTTCTTGAAAATAAAGCCAAATTTGAAAAATTTTAAAGGACTTAAAAATACACTTTGGGGCTGGAGAGATGACTCAGCTGTTAAGAGCACTGACTACTCTTGCAGAGGACCCAGGTTCAGTTCCCAGCACCCACATGGTAGCTCACAGCCATCTGTAACTTCAGTTCCAGGGGATCTGATACCCTCTCCTGGCATCTGTGGGCACTGCACACACATGGCATACTTAACATATATGCACACAAAATACTCACACACATAAAATAAAAACAAATTTTAAAATACTTATCAAAATATACAGTTGCTTATGTTTGTTATGGACTATAAAAGTGTGTGCATTGTGTTTAAGTATACCTTGAATCTATATTTGTCTTTTTTTGGGAACACAAGTAGTTTTGAAAATGCTTCCTTTGGAATACATGAAGATAGATTGAGACAAATATCATGACACTTGCTGTAACTAAAATTCTATCTGGAGGGGATAAACAGTGTCCACTCCCTCCTCCCTTGGTCTCTACAATAAACAAAGGTTATGATTTTGCCAAACTACAGTCTGGAAAACCAGTGAGTTTATTGCACTTACTTACAGAGCAGTGGGTGAAAGTTTACTTACAGGAATGTGGATGCTCCCTTCCTAAGGCACGGATGCTCCCTTCCAAGCATGGATGGTGACTTCCCCACAGCCATCCAAAATGGCAAGAGAGGACCCCCTCTGCTTCCTCAGCTTATGTACCTTTAGCCCCTCCCCCTTGTGCAGCTAGGGCTGACTGGTTGGTTGGGAGGTGTGGCTGACTCTCCCTGCCCTTCCTTTCTTGCGGAGCGTAACAGTCAACAAGCTCAGCTGTGATAATCTTAGGCAAGCAGGTGCAACCAAGCTTGGGAAGATGGCATCTTCCATGGTCTGTCTGTTGGTGGACAGTCCTGCGCAACAGTTACTAAGTCACTCGTATAAGATCATATGAAATTTTCTTAAATAATTTTCTCTGTATTTCATCACTTACAGGAAACAAAGGTGACCCTGCCAGTCAGTGTGGTCCACCTGGTCCAAAGGGTGAGCCAGGTAGCCCTGGATGTCAAGGTATAACTCCATGCATTTCAGTCAGTGCTGCAGTATATCCCCTGCTTGGGATCAATAAGACAACACCGAGTGGAACTGACATTTGATTTGATCAGAGAACAGGCATAGACATAAGTTCATTTTGAGTGTTGGAATGAATACCACCCCCATGGGTTTGTAAATACAGAGCCCTATATTTCATTTGAAGACTCAGCCATTGATTGCCAACATAAACTACAGGTTTATACTATAAATTTGAATTAAAGTCGTACATATAAGTAAGCATATGGGAATATAGTCGTTCTCTCTAGTAACAACAGAAATGTAATTTAAAGTGTACTAGTCAGGGCTCCCTGGAGGAACAGAACCAAGAGAATGAATATGTACTATGAAAAGGGTTTACGAGATTGACTTACATGATAAGGGATGGGTAGTCTAACAACAGCTGTCTGCCGGAGAGGCTGAGAGCCAGGAGCTGCTCAGTCCATGAAGCCCGATGTCTTAGCAGTCCTAGTGTGGCACTGACAGCTAGGATTCCTGGAGAATCCTGCTAGTCTTCAGCCTACACTAGAAAGCCAAAGAAGCTGTGTGTTCTAGTTTGCTTCCTATTGCTGTGATGAACACTCACTCACTAAGGTCAACCTGGGGAGGAAAAGGTTTATTTCGGCTTACAGTCCTTCATCAGGGGAAGCCAGGGCAGGAACTCAGGAGGAACCTGGAGCACAGACCCTGGAGAAACGCTGCTTACTGGCGTGCTCCTCTACCCTGTCCTCAGCCTGATTTCTTATATAACCCAGGACTATCCACCCAGGAGTGACCACCCACAGTGGGGCCCTCCCACATCATTCAAAAACATTTTTTAAAAAAATGCTTCACAGAACATCAGCAAGAAGCAAAAGTGGGTGGGCAAAACAGTGTTGCTTTCCCTTTGACCGCTTCATAGCTGGGCTGCTGCTGGAAGGTGCCACCAACTCCAGGGGTGGATCTTCTCACCTCAATTAAGCATTCCTGAAAATGTCCACACAGAGGTGTGTCTCTTAGTTGAGTCCAGATCTAATCAAATTGACAATCAAGTGGAACCATCACATACCATCGTGTGTGTGTGTGTGTGTGTGTGTCTTTTTGAGACAGGGGTCTCCCTGTAGCCCCAGCTGGCCTGGAACTTACTATGTAGACCAGGCTGGTCTCAAACTCACAGAGATCCACCTGCCTCTGCCTCCCAAGTGCTGGGATCAAAGGCGTGTGCCACCACACCCAGCTACATCCAAAATATTTTATCCTTACTAAATTAGTGAGAAGCATGTGAGGACTGTGAGACCTCTTATCCCACTGGTTGTCAGGATTGATAGGCGGATCTGGCTGGCTAGGCCAGTGTCCCCTTCCTCCCTCTCCACTCTCCGTACATTCCTCCCAAAGCTGCATGCTCAGTTGAAAAGGAAGGAAGACCTTCCTTGACAGAAGAGGATTGCTCTTGGTCAAGGGTGTATGAGTAACCCTGTGCCCCTGCCAGGCCCTAAAATACCAAGAAAACAAGCTGACAATCAAAAAGTCCTCAGTGAAAACATGGCTACTAGTTACGACGCTGTGGGTGGGTGACATGGGGACAGTGGGGGTTGATGCAGTGCCTGCTCCGAACTACACATAACCTATGTCAAGAACCAAATGTTGGGGGCTAGAGAGATGGCTCAGCGGTTAAGAGCACTGGCTGCTCTTGTAGAAGACCAGGGTTCGATTCCCAGCACCCACATGGTGGCTAACAGCTATCAGTAACTCAAGTTCCAAGGAATCCAATGCCCTCTTCTGACATCCATGGACATTGCACAATACGGGTGCACTTATACACATGCAGGCAATACACTCATACACATAAAATAAAAATAATAAAAGAACCAGTGCTGAATGGCCAATTCTAGAAGACTAGAGAGCAGCTGACCTCTTCTCTTCAAGTCACAGTCATGAGAAGGGAACTGTTGTGGGGTTTTTTAAAATTCAGTTTTCTTTTAAATTGAAGAGGCATACTCACCAGGTACCATGTGCAGTTCTGGTGTAGAGCTGGGTGCAGACAGACCAGCTGTGAAGGACACGGCAGGGACAGTGAGAGGAACAAGAACACAAGTCTGGATGATATTAGGGATCATTATTTTGTTGGCTGCCGTAATGTTATTTTGGGAACATAAGATGTTCTTATTTTTCGAACCTACCTCCTAAAGTATTTTGGGATGGAGTTCCACAATGGCCATGATGTGCTTTAAAACTTTTCAGTGTTTAGAAATGTATTTTAAGTAACCCAAAATATCGCACTAGTTGCCTAGAAATTCTACTCCTAGGAATTTTCCTAAAGGAGATAATTTAAAAGAAGAAGATTTGATTTTAAATACATAAAGAAGGGAGACACGTTGGGGACTGTTGGGAGAGTGGGGGTGGGAGTTGGTGGTGGATAGGATCAATGTGTATGTGCATGAGATTGTCAAAGAATAAATAAAAGATAAAAAAGAAGCAAATGTATAAAATAATTATGCATAATAGCAAAATGAATTAGAAACAACTTTATTGGCTAATGGCTGGAGAAAATTAGATTAATTAATTAAATTAATTGGGAGCTGGAGAGATGGCTCAGCAGTTAAGAACACTGGTTGCTCTTGCAGAGGACCCAGGTTTGGTACTCAGCATCCACATGGTAGCCAACAGCTATTCATAACTCCAGTTCCCGGGCATCTGACACCTTCCTCTGACCTCCGAAGGCATTGCAGGACACGGGTGTGCTCACATACATGTAGGCAAAACACTTATCCACATAAAAATAAATAAATATTGATAAAAATATTAAATACGGTATGGTAGTTCATGCCTTTAATTCTAGTGCTCAGGAGGCAGACAGAGGTAGATCTCTTGTGAGTTCTAGGCCAGCCTGGTCTACATAGTGAGTTCCAAGCCAGCCAAGACATCATAGAGAGACTTTGTCTCAAAAAAACAAAAAAAAAACAAAAAACAAAAAAAGAAGATTGAATCAATAAATTTTCAGCTAGTCATTTGAAAATGACAAACTTTGGAAATTGCTTATGGTACAATACTGATTTGTAAAAACAGAAAATAAAAATTGTGGTATTTGCATGTGTGTGCACATATGGAAATTTGTATAAAGATTCAAGGGGGATTATGGCAATTTTGTAACCAAATTTTCCTTGAAGATGCCCTACTTATCAATGGAAAAAAATAAATAATAAGAGAACAGAAAAGAATAGCCAGGGTTGAAGTTGACTGCTTAAGAATCACTGTCTCAAGGAGCTACTGCTCAGACTTGATCTTCTGTTCTCTAGGTGACTTTGGAGACCCTGGAGATAAAGGCTTGCCTGGAGTTGAAGGGCGGAGAGGACCACCCGGAAGACCAGGGCTGCCTGGCTCTTCTGGACCACCAGGGTGTCCAGGTACCTTGCAAGAAAGCCTAGAAACTTCCTGGGCACTCGTGTGACTTGGTGTGCATTCTTCACTTAGATTCAGGCTCAGATAAAACCTCTTCGCCTCCCACTTCCGTGCATCTGGATGGAACGTGCAAACATACCTTTTCCTCACCCCAAACCCTCTGCCACTCTCACTAGGTTGCACTAATTACTTTACCGCAGGTGGCATTGGTAGAGTGTCGGCATTGCACCAGGCACAAAAGGTGGTTGACAGCCCAAGTTCCTTTCTGCCTTCTTCCTAATTTCCCCTGTCAATCTTGATGCTGCCGCCCCTCCCCCTCGGCTTCAGACCTAAAGCAAATATCACATTTACAGCCCAGGGTTTTAAGGATCCTTTTCTGACCAAGTCAGAAAAAAAAAAGGAAAGTTAACAATCATGATTGGCAACTTTAATTATTTGGAAGTATATGTTCTCCTTTTGAAATTATTTTTCTCATTAAATTTAAAAATCTAGGAGGAAAGGGCAATAAGACTATGGCCCTGGTTACTTGTGTGTTAGGAACACAGATGATCTTCCCAGGAAATGTTATTCATGTGTCACTGGGGTGTCTGAAAACTTCCCTCTGTTTTTCAGGTGATCCAGGGATGCCTGGGCTAAAGGGCCATCCAGGAGAAATGGGAGATCCTGGACCAAGAGGCTACCCAGGAGATTCAGGGAGACCAGGTCCTCCTGGAGTAAAAGGTAAATAGAGCAGATTAGCAGAAACCTCCATCTTGCCGAGGGCAAAGTCACAGCCCCTCTCCTGAGATTGTGGCTATGCTTGATGAGGCCAGTCTCTAGAAGTCACCGTCAGTATCTTCTCCTTCCCCCAGAGCTGAAGGCCACACCCATCTTCACTTGCTTCCACTAGGAAAGATCCAGGATCCAGGTGTTTCTATCCTATTTCTGAGGCTGTGTCCAGTGTCTTGTATGGTATGCATATCTACCCTTTATCTCCACTGACAATCAAATTCCCTTAATGTCCTAGATTCTGGATTAGGTACTGGGTGCTGTTTTGAAGAAAATAGACAGGATCCTGCCTTCATGGAGCTATTTCACAAAAGAGATCTCGCCTCTAACACCATAGCCAGTTGGATTAAGTTTCTACACTCTTAGGGCCTTACGATGGGGATTATATTTTCACAAACAAACCCTTGGGAGATACAACACATATCCTAAATCTATATCCAAACCCTAGTACCAGAGATGGTAAGTATTTAACCCTGAGAGTTGGTGAGATGTCTGCTGCTAGTACCCTACTCAGTGGGGAGCGCTGTAAATTTTGCATTTCAAGAAGAGATTCCAGGACAGAGATGTAACTCAGTGGTAGATCACTAACCTAGCACATCCAGTCTCCAGTATTTCCTAAAAAAAGAAGATTTCAGAATTAAGGCATGCTTGTCTGTATTGTTATTATATATAAAAGTAAAAATAAAACATATTTGAAATCAACCTTGAGTTCAGTAATAAATTACTTTCTGGACAGAGCAGAGCTGTTGAGGTGTTGTAGGGATAGGAAGGAACGCTCCCAGAGGTCTTGGAATTACTCATCTAAGTCTGATAAGGGCATCAAGGCCACACGAAATAGGAAGTTCGGCATCCAGGTTGCTAGGTATATTTTAATTAGCAAAACCAGCTTGGTTGTCACTAGGCTTTTTTAGGCATTAGTTATGCTTAAAAATTGAGAAGACTTGCAGAAATGCCTGTTTCTTGAGTTCTGAGAGACCCTCTCAGTACTGCGTGACCTTTGTGTTTATAGTGTACGCTCGGTTGGATGGATATTGAGCGGAAAGCACAGCTTCCAGCCTTGTTGGCTCATTATATTAAATAAAAGCAACCATGAAAAGAAGAAACGTATTTTAACACTATAAACCTTTACATTGAGAGCATTGATTTAAAAGGCAAACATTAAAATATATGTGCACATAAATACATATTTACTAATTGAGATAGTGAAGGGAAGGAAAAGAGGAATCACAGAAAAAAAACGGCCATTTTAATAAAATTCATCTTCTTTGTTAGATGCAGAAACATTTTTCTTGGTTGCATTTTTGGGCTTCTAAAGGTAATAGTGGACTAGTCATTGGTCTGGATATAATATAAGTTAATATAATATGGGGTAACATAATATACTTGCTAGTAACAAATATTCCTGTCCTCGCACTCATCTACTTCTATGTCTTATTAGTTCATTTCTCCTATTTTAGAAAAACACCTTTTTGGTCTTTTTGAGACAGGGTCTCCCTGTAGCCCCAGCTGGCCTGGAACTTACTATGTGGACCAGGCTGGCCTCAAACTCACAGAGCTCCACTTGCCTCTGCCTCCTAAGTGCCGGAATAAAGGCGTGCGCCACCAGGCCCAGCTGTAGAAAAATACTTTTGCTATGTGTACTCTGTGTACACCTCTAGCACAACACCTGCAAGGGGGCCTTTCAAAGCAACAGAACACTGTTTTTAAAAACCAAGACATTTTCATGTCCTGGGTTCCAACTGATATGCAATAAATACTTTGGTTGGTGAATAAACAAAGTTAGCAGTGATGAGACTGAGGGCTTCAGTGTAAACCGCAGGTGAGGGTTAAAGCTTCTCTTCGTAGATCCTGATAACTACACTCTCTCTATCTCCTCTTTTCTTCCTTTTAGCCCACCTGCCTTCAGCTTGTGTACACACACACACACACACACACACACACTAAATGTTAGTAAAATGAAAGAACCTGTTCTTGGAAGAATTGGAAACTAGTTCTGGGATTAATCATTTTATTGTTTTGTAAAAACAAATCCTTCTTTTTTCATCTTTTCCATTCTTTATGCCCCAGGTAGTTTTCAGACAATTTTAGCTTTTCAGCAAGCAGGTAATGTGATATATATTTCTGCAATATGCAGTTCTGCAGAGAGGGAAATTATTCATTTGGAAGTTTCTAGCACACTTGTGTATTTACTGGCAGACAAATAACTTGATGGGAAAAGTTGTGAGGAGAAGCTACGTTCATTTGGGTCATTCTCCATTTTCACCAAAATGCTTAGTAATGTGAAAACCAGGCGTGATAGATTTCAAGTTTCAAACAAAATGATGATATTGCTATTCTAAGATTCTCTCTGATGACCGTGACCATCTCCTGCCTGTCTGACAACCCCTGAAGCCCCTGGGCATCTCTGTTACTTTAATGTTTCTCCAGTCTACAAGGAGCTGGTAAGGGACAGCAACACCACTGTCAACACCACCAAACACAGCAAACATTTTTCATTAATAACTAGTCTCACACTTCACTCTACATATCTTTCCAATTCAGTAAAACAGCAAACATTTTTGAGTTCTTTCATTCCTTTACAATATGTTCCCAATTTGATAAAAAAATAGCAAAGCTGATGTTAGACACTGATTCGTCTTTCCCTCTTGGATTGCTCTGCATTGACCACATAGCTCTATTTAAAAAAAAAAAAAAATAGTAACAATAGAGATGAACTTGGTTCACAATGAAAGTACCTGAAAAGCAATTGCTAATTGCCTCCTAATCCTGTGCATTGAAATAGTGAGTTTGTTAAGAGAAGAGAAAGCAGACCACCCACCGGCTCCTTTCCATCCTGTTCAAACCCTGCCGCAGGGCTGCTTCCCTGCCACTTGGGGACGCTGTTTCACTGCATACAGAGCAGCACATGCTCGAGAAACAGAGAAACAGAACAAAACAAAACAGTGAGATACATTCCTAAAAATTAAAACATCTACAGGATAAATCCATTGTTGCAGTTTGTCATGCTGTTATAAAAATGAACCACATTCTAGCAGAAATACTTTGAACTGAGAAATAAATATTTGAAATATGTTCTAAGTAAGTCAAGGGGACTGATTATCTTGTTTGAACAAACCAGCTGCTGAACTCAGAACTGCTTGCTCTGCCAAAACAGGCCATATGGATTTTGAGCACTGCTTGGGTCCAATCAGATTTAAACTTAAGCTTAGAAATATACTAAATGTGGCTTGATTTCTAGGCCCAGTCTTTTAAGTACATGTATTCTCTGCAAGGAAAATAATCAGTTTATCCATAGCCTGACAATATTATAAAGTATGTGGATTGGGTGGGTATTTTGGCTTGTGGCAAGTAAAAAGGTTCACTTTTGTGTGTCAGGGTCTGTGTGTATATGTTCATGTGTGTGCAGTTGAACATGTGGGGGAGTGTGTGAAGGCCAGCAGTCTTAGATATCTTTCTTAATTCTTCCCCATCTTATTTATTTTTTGAGATGGGGTCTCTCACTGATCTTGGAACACACTGATTTGGCTAGACTAGCTGGTCAATAAACTATCAGGACCTGCCTGACTTAGCTGCTGCCCTTCCCCATCCCCCCATCCTGGGGTTATGGACATGCCCCTCCCCCAAGCTATTACTTTTTATGCGTGTGCTGAGGATCTAAACTCAAGTCTTCATGTGTATGTGGCAAGCACTTCACTGACTGAGTCGTCTCTCCCCCTCCCCCGCCCCAGTCCTAGTCATTCACTTTTAGAAAGCACTTTGAAATGTCTTTTTATCAGGAGCAAAATGCCATACACCATGGAGCTATGAAATGTAGTCTCCAGTTTTCATAACTAGACTCTTCTCCTGTCTGCCACCCCCAGCACTTACCAAACTTGATGTCGATGCTTTTTTGTACTGTCAGGTCAGGGATTATTTCTCTTTGTCTTGTCAGCCCCTGTCAAGAGATAGCTGGAGGGGTGGAGTTCTGTGATTAGTAAACCATATTTATCCTCTTAGTAGGCACTCATGAATTTGCTGGAAAAAATTTAAACCTTGTTTCAAAATCTTTTCTGATAAGGGCTCTCAAAGGTTCTCAACGTTTGCCTGTAGTGCGTCTTTTCTATCAGCTTTAGGGCCAGGGTGGCCATGGCTCACTCTAACTCCCAGTGCTAAACATTCTGCTCAAACAGGGATACACTAGCCACTCTTTTAAAAGTGTAAATGTCACAAGTTCCCTGGGAATGTAGAGCCGCATTTTTCAGGCAACAGAAGTACAACCTTTGTACTTGGAGCGGGAATTCCATCACAGAGTGAGTCAGTCAACACAGATAGAAGGCAAGACGTGCTGGAGTAGAGATGAGATCCACTGACTGGACAACCAGCACGCTGGCCCCTGAGTGCAGCCTGACGCAGCCTTAAATGGTGATTGTTAAGCAGAAGGACTTTCAGAGAGGTGAAAAAAATTCCTCATTACCCAGGAATGCACTTTGTTAGCCTGATTGCCCTTCATCCGCACTCCATATATTTTATGCATGAACGACTTTCTGATTTAGAGATGGGATTGATTGGTAAAAAGCTTTCAGTAAAAGGGAAAAATTACCCTTAAAACCCTACCCAGATGTAACTGCATTCAATTTAGAAAAATAACATTGGGTCAGATAAGGGTCGGCTAGTTCAACAACGACAAGGGGCTGGGCCATGACAGCCCAGGATCTGGATGTGTGGATGTGACAATAGAGAGTTGGCAGAGACTAGAACATTCCTCCTTCAGCCAATTCCACAAGCCATCAATCTTGGTGGTTAACAGTGGAGATCAAAACACATGGAAATAGTGGTCTCACAAAAAGTTTATTATCGTTTCAGATAGATTGCAGTAAATATTCAGACTCGGCAGACGAAGAAGGTCTTTGTATTCTTTTGGTGCAAACTTGAAATACTGGCTCATAAAGTAGGAAAGAGGGCTGGAAAATAAACTAAGCCAGAACTGTGAAAAGTGGTTAGGAAGTAAGAGATTTAGGGAAAGTAAGGGTGCTTTCCCAGTTATTTTCAGTGGAAGACACTACGGTTCATTTGAATCGACATAAAGCTAAGATCTTAAATAGAATGATTTAATGATAAATAAAATGGAACTAATTGTGCCATCTCCCAATAAGAATTCCACAGAGACTTGCTTTATCAAACATGGATGAATTAGCACTCGAATTATTTATTCACAGGTAGATAGCTCTAACTTTTTTTCTCTCTAACTTTTGTAAATCATATTTGACCTACAAACATATTAAATAAAAATGTGACAAACGAGTTAAAAATGGTAGTGTCCTCTCATTGCAGCTTTCTCTCCACTGATCCAATCCACGCTCGTCTTCAGTTTTTATTTGTCACTCGTTCAGTCAACAAGTGTTTGTTCAACACTTAGAGGTGTCAGGAAATAAGCTAAGTGTGGAGATAGAAAGACTTACAGGCCATGACCTTGGACTCTGATTTACCCTTGAGCCAGGAAGGCAGCTGCCCAAAGATGTGACTGTTATACTGCCTGGCACAAGCAATCTACCTAGAGAGCCTTATGGAGGCTCATGAGTAGTGTGAGCCACTTTCTGCGTGTTTAGTCATGTAAGATGAGGCTGTTGTGTGAGAATGCCAATCCGAGTGAGTGGTGGGCTGTGTAGAATGGAGCTTAGTCTTGGGTAAGAAACATCACCTACTGGATAGAAGGTCCAGCCATGAATGAGGAAGGTTCCCAGGCTTAACCAGAGAGAAGCTTCATTCCTAGAACCACTCAGTGAGACAAGTCCAGCTGGTGCTCAGAGGGGATCTCTCTCAAGAGGGGATCTGTGATATTATTTACCTGCCTGCTTTGTCCTGCTCGCCTACCTCCCCTCTGCCTCCGCGACTTTATGCTGATCAATTTAGAAACTCCCATTAAAAAAGGTACTCACTCAAAAAAGCTAAGCACAACCCAGTATCTATTGATGGAAAACCCTAAGGAAAAATTTTCCACTGTCAGTGATTGATGACAACTTAAGTAAGGCCTGGCAGGTAGCTGTCTCCTTAGAAAACTGTAGAATGCCTCTTGGTTAGTTTGATTCAATGTGTACAGACATGAAGCCTGAACTTGGGGTTTGATTTAAGAGATCACCACAGAGTAAGGTTACTTGCTGTAAGAAGGTATCAGAATTGTTCTGAAAGAAGTAGCTTCAGGAAAAGAGCTACAGCTGAACTTGACCTACAGGTCTGTTTCCTAGAGTAATACAGGGCTTAACGTATTAAGGAGGACCATGCTTCCCATAGCCACGGTGTGAACTGTCCTGTTCTTTTACTACATTACTCTGGCTTTATCTGGAAGGAATTGGGACCAGCACACACAGGTGGGAAAGAAAGACTGGCCCTGGGGAGTAAGACGTATGGATTTGCTCCTATCCAAACCCTTCCCTTGTCCCATTAAAGATATATCTGTTGTATTATTTTCTCATTGGAATAGCTTACAATCAGATACAGTAGAACCCAATACGTATCACCATCAAATCAAAGGTCACTTCTTGCACCAAAACGCAGTAATTCTAGACTATATCTAGTCATGATATAGTTATAAGCCAAGCCAAAAAAATATATGTTAAGTCATCTTGTCAGAAAATCTTCACCAAATGAATGTGCTAAATAACTATCAGCCTAGATTCTCACCCAGTGAGGCCCTCCAGACATTAAGATCTATCCATCTTCTTCCCATTGGCTCACCCTCCGCTGGGCTGTACCTAGGACTGTAGACAGGTTGGGAATCAAATAGCTGGTCCGGCCCTTAGGACACAGACCTGTGTTGTGTTTCAGGTCCCTCCGGGTTTCCTGGTCTGAATGGTTTGCATGGTTTGAAGGGTGAGAAAGGAACAAAAGGTGCCTCAGGTAAGACAAATCCATTGGTGAGCTTGCTTCGCTCAGTGGATCTGGAGGAAGTAGTATTTTCCCTGGTATTTCATTGCTTCATGAGAAGTGGGGGAGGGGTTGAAACTGAAAACCTGGCGTAGAGATGCGGTGATGGAAATATTTCTAGTGTTGGGTGTGGTTCAGATTAAAAAAGGCATGTAAGAAAACTTGATGCAGGCGGTCGGCTAAATAGCTTGATGGTTAAGAGTACTGGCTGTTCTTGCAAAAGTCCTGAGTTCGAGTACCAGCACCCACATGGAGACTAACAACCATCTGTAAATCCAGTTTCAGGGGATCTGATGCCCTCTTCTAACCTCCACAGACATTGCATGACATGGGTACACTTATATACATGCAGGCAATACACTCATACACATAAACTTGAAGCAAAGAAGGAATGGAGTAAATAGTGCTTTGCATTGGTATTGCTGAGGACTATCTGCCCAGTGCTCAGAATTCTTGCTTAAATGGGGCCAGATTTCAAGATGTGATGAAAACAGTTTTTTAAAATGTATGTTGTTTTAGGTATAGCAGTGGCTTATAAAATCATGTTAATCCAACTAGTACCACTGGCACCCTTTCCCTCAAATGTCAAGAAAAATTATGTGAACAACTTGCCATTATTTTTTATAGCATGGACAGGTTAGTCTTGAACCCCTATGCTTAAGCTTGTCCCATTAAAGGCATATCTGTTGTATTATTTTCACATTAGAATAGCTTACAATCAGACACAGTAGAACTCAATACATAAATCTGAACCACTGTGAGAAAAAGGATTGTCCTGCTAGGTCTGACTTTGCTGTTAGAGAGACATGAAGTTTTATAGATTTTGGAAGATCAGAAAGTAACCTAGGTCACTTAAAATGTGTTCGTTGGCTCTTTCAATGGGTCTGATAAATGTGTACTCCTTCCAACAACCAAAGCTAGTCTCTTCTTTCAACAGGAAGTGCCAGAATATGGTAGTTCACCTTATAGGCCAATCTCTACTCAAATGTCCAAGCAATGTGTTCACAATTATTCATGGTTGCATCTCATTTGTTTTTATCCATTACAAAGGTTGGAGGTTAATGTTGTCACTAAGCAATTGTTTCTTAAAATCTAGGAAATAATTTTAAAAGAAATCAAACCTGTGGTTGATCAGTGTAATGGGTCATAAGTGAGAAGCGGGGACTCAGGAATAGACATCATCACAGCCCTGATTTGATCTCAGAAGAATCAGCCACTTTCTCCACCAAGTTCCTCGGTGGGGGGTCTCAGGTTCTGTGATGGGGATAAATAAGGAGATACAATATTGATGCTGTTTTCCCCATTAAGGTATGCATGAAATGGGCCCACCAGGGCCAGTGGGAATGCCTGGGCTAAAGGGTGAGACAGGTGACCCTGGGAGCCCAGGAATTTCTCCTCCAGGCCTTTCTGGAGAAAAAGGCCTCCCAGGACCCCCAGGTAAGAAGCAGCTTTGCTCTTTCCTCAACAAGTAATTCAAAATCTTCCAGATGTAATGGAGCTAACGTGTGAACACATGCTTCCACAGGGAGACCAGGACTACCTGGTCCTGTGGGTGCTCCAGGAAGGCCTGCCAAGGGTGACATTCCTGATTCAGGTCCACCTGGAGACTTGGGACTTCCTGGCCCTGATGGCCCAAGAGGTATGATGGCATCATAGCAAAGGATGACACTGGTCCCTTCCTTAGATACTGTCAGCAAGGTATGGCTGTGATTAGAGAGTCACAGAGATGCCTAAGTAGCTCTCAATTTGGGAGATGGATAAGTGAGAGCCACCTGATTGAGAAGGAGAATGGGTAGCAGTAGGCTCCCAGGGCCAGACCAGCACATAGGCCTCCTTTTCCTAACCTACCCCCATCTATCAGACTACCTCTGATCAAGCACAACAAAAGGTGGGCAAACATTTCCCATCACCAGCTTGATGCTGTTGCTAGAAGCATTCTTCCTCTTCCCCAGCGCCTGTCACTGGCCCAGAGGCACAGGACTCAGGCCTGTCACATCCACAGAAAGTCTCTATGTGGGCTGCCAACAGTGTGAGTTGCTCCTGCAAGGACAAGATTATTAACAGCTAGCAAAGCCAGGGTAGACCAGATCTGATGCAGGAGTCAGGAGAAGAATATGGCTTGGTGGCATTCACATTGCTCTTAGAACTCTTATTGTGTGGAGACACAATAAGAACTGCCATCTTGGATTTTTAGAACTTGAGTAAGAGTAGAATTGTACAGAATAAAGTAAAAGCAATAAAAATGTTCTAGGAAGTATAGAAGTTAAGAAGAAATAAACTTGGGGTTGGTCTATTTCCCTGTAGAGATACTTTTTTGTTTGTTTTTGAGACAGGGTCTCGCTATGTGCTTCCGGCTAGTCTGGAATTTGCTATGTAGACAGGATAGCCTTGAACTCACAGAGCTCTATCTGCCTCTTTCTCTCAAGTAAAAGTGCTGGGATTGAAGGGATGCTCTACCATGACTGCTAGGTACTTATTTTTAAATAAAATTATACATCTGAGTACATGTTTATTTCTCATTAGCTATAGTCTCAAAATCTTACCCATTCATCTCTCCATCCACCCACCCACCCATCCATCCAGCAATCCATCCATCCACTCTGTATATCCCTTGTGTGCAAGTGATTACATTTCCTTCCTTAAGAAGCTTTTAGGCAACCATTGTCTTTGCTTCTTCTGTTTGTTAGGAGCACCTGGGCCTCCAGGCCCTGCTGGGAGTATCGACCTTCTGAAAGGGGATCCAGGTGACTATGGTCTGCCAGGGCCACCAGGCACCCGAGGCCCACCAGGCCCTCCAGGGTGTCAGGGTGTTCCAGGATGTGATGGAAAAGATGGCCAGAAAGGTATGAGTGTAGGCTGTTCCATGGTGTGTGAAGACTTACCTTACTTTGAGGTTCTAGGGTGCCATCTTCCTTCCTGTGGTGACATTCCTCTTGTGAAAATAGTGATGACAGTTCTAAAATGACCTGGCTTCTTCTAAAGAGCACTCAAGTTGGAGTATACATTGCTCAGGTAAAAGAAAGGCACCCAGGGGCTAGGGATTGAGCTCAGTTCATAGAATGTTTGCCTAGGATGTATAAAGCCCTGGGTCCCGTCTCCTAGCACTTCATAAACTGGGTGGTGGGCATGCATACTTGTAATCTTAGTACTTGGGAGGTGGAGGCAGGAGGATCAGGAGTTCAAGGTAATCCTTGGTTATACAGTGAGTTTGAGGTCAGCCTGGGATATAGGAAAACCTGTCTCAAAACAACAAACAAATAAACAAAGGAAAAGAAAGAATCTCTGGACCAGAACTGAGTAATAGAAACATAAGGTAACTTGCACGCATAATTGAAAATGTAGAAGCCACATTTAAACAGTGAAAAGTAGATGGGAACGGTGGCCTGTACCTGTAATCACAGCACATGGGAGGCTGACACGTGAGAACTGCTGTGAGTCCAGGCTAGCTCGGGCTATGTGGCGAGTTCCAGGCCAACTTAGGCTACAGAGTGGAAATACATCTCAAAAACATTCACTCCCCTACCCAATTTAAAAAGAAAAAATAAACAAATGAAATTGACTTTCCTACCTTTTTTATTCAAATATTATTATTTTAACAAATAATCAATATAAAACTACCAAGGAGATACCACAGCTTATTGTGAAAAGCCTAGTGTCTTTCACCAGTACGCCACGCCTCCTTCCTGCCACTAAAACCCAGTATTTCAAAGTTATCACAGCCCAGTCCAGTGTGGACTACACCACATTTTATGTGCTCAGTGGCCATATGTAGTTGGTAGCCTTTTCTGTCACAATTTTAAAGAATAATTAGATTCCTAGAACTAACTTTTTTGTTGAAAAATTACTGTTTTAACTCCCTTATTTTTTATTTTTAATTTTATTGAATTTTTATACATTTCATACAATACATCTTGAACATATTTAGACTCCCTCCCCTCTCTGCACTCCTCTGCTAGACCCCCGCTGAATTTCATGCATTATGTCATCTATGTTAAGGCTTATCAAGTTTGTATCCCTAGATGTCTCTCAGTGCGAGTTCATCCACTGGAGTCTGGTCAGCCTATCCGGCGTCACTCCCTTAAAGAAGACCAACTCTCTCTCACCCAGCAGTGACCAGCTGCCAACAGCTCTACAGCTAAGGCTGGGGCTTCTTATCCATGTCCCCACTTCTATGCTGGGTTTTTGTCTGGTTTGAGTTTGTATGGGTCTTGTGCATGATGTCAGCACTGCTGTAAGTTCATATGTAAAGAATAAGAGACCACAGTGTGCTTGTCCCTGGATAGGACTCCTATACTAAAACCTCTGCCACTTAGGACTCAGGGTCCATTGCTGAAGAGGGAGTGGAAAGCCTGTAAGAGCCAGGGGTGGTGGATAACCACAAGGAAACAGACTTTTCCAGGTGGCCGGGAACTTGCTCATATGAACTTAACTCCCTTATTTTATAAAGAAGGGAGCTAGATATCAAAGAACCAAATAGTGAAGTTTGCAGAAGGGGTCCAGTAGCTACAACCTTGTCTGACTTCTGAGCCCAGTGTGAAACACGAGGCAGGATTAAGCAAGGAGAGGGGAGACCAAAACCACCAGAGGCTTTCAGAGCTACAAGGCAAAGGGTATCTGTGGAATTGTGCAGTGCACATTCACATAACAGCATGAGCAGCCTCGTTATCTCTGCTACAGTAGAGTGTGATGCTGTGGCTTATAGCTGCAGATATGTGGGCTTCCAGTTTTTAATGAACATCAGAACTGGACCAATAGGCTGATGCTCTGGTCACCAAGAGGAAAGAGGAAAGGGCAGCTCCACTGATGGAGCATGCATCTCCACTTGGACATAAGCTACAGAACTGGAGGAACAGTGTGTCAAGTTACTATAGTCTCTGACAGACGGGATACTAGACATACTGGTGGATGGGGCTGGTGAGATGGCTCAGTGGGTAAAAGCACTTGCTACACAAGCTTGATGACCTGACTTAGACCTCCATAAAATTATCATCTGACCTCCACACGTGCACTGTGGCACCCCTGCCCCGTCGCCATCACACAAAAACACAAACAAAAGAAAAAAAGAAATAAAAGTGGAGCCACACGCAGTGCTTTCCTGTGCTGGGGGCCCGGGAGATCTGCAGTGTTCCTTGTAGATGAGTCCCATAGAAGTTCTTTATTTCATCAACATGTACTGAGAACCGACTGGAGTGTAGTGCTGTGTGAACATGAAGAGTACCCCAGTCTCATTCAGCCCCGAGTTTCTTGAAGGAAGATAGGTATTCACTTGGAGGGAAATGGCTCCCTAAACCCAGCTCAGGGCTCTCTGCTGAGTCCAGTGAAATTCCAACAGGGCTTCCCTGAGGACTGGAGACCTGATTTGAACCCTAAAGAATATAGGGATTAATGGATGGGGAAGAAGAGGACCAACACAGAGAGCTGAGCTGTGGGTGGGTCTGACCCAAAGTGGGTGAGGAGGAAGGTGATGGAACTCCAGCTGGGGGGTACCTTGCCACCAGGCCTTTCCTATTCTCCACTCAAGCCTAGTCCTTTGATATCCCCAGAGGAAATGCAGGCACAGGGCTTTGCATTCTCATGCCATTCTGGCTTGATTACCCATATGTTTGCCCTTCTCACTGACCACTGGAGTTCTTTGGCAGAAGCAGCTCTTCCCAAAGTGAGGCAAATCTCCCCTCTCACACGTGACTCCGCTTTTTGTTGGAGTAGAACATAAAAGTTCTCAAACATCCACTATGTTGTTTTCTTTAGGACCAATGGGATTTCCTGGGCCCCCAGGGCCACCTGGTCTTCCTGGGGTATCTGGAGAGAAGGGACTAGCTGGCCCTCCAGGCAGAAAAGGGCCCATAGGTCCCCCAGGTAAGTTTATCCTCCCATCTAAGCAGTTACTGTGTTTTCAGGATGTACCGAAAACACTGTGTTCTGAAAACACTGCAGCATCGTTATGAGCAAATCCCTTATGATATAAAGAGTGTATTTGTTTGCGACTGCTCATATCAAATCTCATGTTTGGCAAATATTTACTATCAGAACATGCAAGTTTGAAAATAAGAGGTGGTATTATACATATTATTTATAAGGGAATAAACATCTGGGTTTCTTTTCTTTTTTTTTTTTTTTCCACAGAGGAGCCAAAGATGGATTTGACTATTGTGCTTAAGATTGTATATTTACTTCTTGTCTTTAAATTTTCATGAATTTTCCTAGATGCTTTACCTATTTTCTAAAAAGTACCTTAGTTCCTCTAAAGGTGAGAGGCTATTTAACTTAACTCTGCAGATAATCTTAATCATAGGGTCAAATTAGACAAGGATGAATTGAGAAGAGAAAGGACGGGCATGTGGATTTGAGGTTGGCAGAAGTGATACCTTCAAGATTCCAAGTCAATATCACAGTGATACTATGCTATAGTGGTAATTCAGAGTATTCTGCGATGTCTAAGCTGGCACAGCCACACTGCTTTATTGTGGTCACAGTACAGCAGGACAAAGTGGTTGATACTTGGATTCTTTTTATATTTCCTTCCTGTGCATCTAACTTATAAAACTTGGCAAATTAATACAGAATTTTCAGAGCCTGCAAATGAACATAATAATTCTTATACACATTCACTCAGAACATATTCACCATAGGAAATCAACTAGAATTTTCTATTTCTCAAGAGAGTTTCATTTCAAGTCTTTGTAAAGATGAAAACTCCATTAGTACAAAATCGTAGTCACTCCTGTCAATCACACTGATGCAGACTTTTTATGCAAATATGACGTTGTCTGCTTGCCCTGGATGCTACCTCAAATTATTATTTATGTTCTCAAGCAATCTGTTTCACTTCTGGCCTCATGCACAAATTTAAATTCTCTTTCCACTATGTGAAAACTATTGGCTGGCTGTGTTTTGGCTTGGGATCGATTCAGGCTGCCGAGGTAAGTGTTGCTATAAAATGAATCATTTCCCCTCGCTCTGCTCCTCCTTCCCGTAGTTGCCTTTTCTACTGTTAAAAAACTCCATTTTTTTGGTGGGGTGCGGCAATTTCAAGTTTTCATGTCATTGCCGCCTCATTGCAGACACAGTAACAGCCTATCAGTGTCCTCATGATGAGCTGCCTTACGGTCAAGGCGGGTAGACGTTCAGTTGTAGAATTTCAGGGCAGGAAGTGTGGGTGCTCTCCTTCAGTACAGTTCCTTCATGAAGTCCACAACACAAATACACAGAACCTCCCTAAAGAAAGCAGCATCATGTTATTAACAGATGGGCCCTTACCACGCTGTAAGACTGGGAGAAGCCTTTCCTCAAACACCCTTAAGTCCATTTTCAAAGAGCAAATTTCTTTGTGTGTTAAAAAGAAAATGTATACTTACTAACCTGCCATGTGAAAGCAATGTGTGGTTTTCTGCCTGATATTTTCAAAGAGATTTTAAAAACGTTCTTAAAAGGGAAAAAGCAGGCGGGTGTGGTGGCTTATGTCTGTAATCCCAGTATTGGAATGCTGATGCAGGAGGATTGCCATGAATTCCAGGTTAGTCTGGTCTATAGGGTAAGACCTTTTCTCAAAGAAGAAAGGAAAAAGCTATGGAAGTTTCCCTTTATAGTTTCCGGGTGTTTGTTATCAATCCTAAAGAAAATTATACTGAAAGCAGATCCTACATATTACTTTTAGGTATCTTAGAAAAGATATTTTAGTCCTTTTCTTTTAGATTCTATATTATTAAAAGATAAAGAAAAGCAAAATTTCAGGGGTTAGAGAGATGGCTTAGTGGTTAAGAGCACTAACTGCTCTTGCAGAGGATCCGGGTTCAATTCCCAGAACCCACATGGCAGCTAATACCCCTCTGTAACTCTAGTTCCAGGGGATCCGACACCCTCTTCTGACCTTCTCAGGTACTGCATGACACAGGTACACCTACCTACATGTAGGCAATACACTTGTACACATAAAAAATAAAAATAAAGCCGGGTGTGGTGGAGCACACCTTTAATCCCAGCACTTGGGGGGCAGAGGCAGGTGGATCTCTGTGAGTTCAAGTCCAGCCTGGTCTACACAGTGAGTTCCAGGCCAGCTGGGGGCTGGAACTATAGGGAGACCCTGTCTCCAAAAGGTGACTATAAATAAATAAAAAATGAAGAAAATAAAAATAAAATATTGTAACAAAGAAAAGCAAAATTTAAAAAAATTAACATTCTGCTATTTTAAAGTCATTTTAAAATTCAAATTGCATTTCTACCCTCTGTGTGTATAAGTAGAAACATTTAAAGGTAACATCAAAATTCTTAATCTAAAGTCCAGTCAAGGTGGGTGTGGTATCACACATCTGTAATCCCAGCGCTTGAGGGTGTGAGGCAGAAGGACTGGGAGTTCCAGGTGAGCCTGAATGTCATAGTGAGATGCTATCTCAAAAAGCTAAAACAACAACCAATCAAACAGCAAACCAGCTCAATGTCCCTCCCTCTACCACAGCTTGGAAAGATTAGGTTTCTCCTTAGAAAATAGGAAATATTCCTGTGCATCTCTCTCAATAGCCCAGAGTGGGAAAGTCAAATTCTACATTAAACTAGGCACACTGTGAAAACCTCTCTGGGTCTGTACAGCTGGTGGCTTCATGCCATAAAGGGCTAAATTCTAAATAGCTCAGAAAGTTCAGGTCCATTCTACAAAGGCACATCGAGAACTGCATGGACTGATACTTTGTGATCGTGAGCACATTTTCCCAGACTTTCTTGCTGCTTCACCATTGCTGTTTTCAAAATTATTATACACAACTGGAAGAATTTTAAGAAAAACATAAACTAATCAAATGGTATGTTTTAAAGCATTTCATCACATACATATTAAGAGCTCTTGGGCTGGGAGCATCTTCTCACAGAGACGGGGAGCGGGAGGGAGAGGGGAAAGAAGAATTCTTGGGCCAGTTTGATATGACGACATGGTGATAAGAACCAGGGTTTGGAGCCAGAACATTCTGGACTGCAGTCTGGACTCTGGTATTTTGGCTGTGTGATGTAAGTAGATACTTATTCCGGGGTGTTCTTACCTGATAGCTTAAAAGCACGGCACATGGCATGCCGTTCTGTGGAGAGAGTAGAGTCACAAAGCATTTTGCCCAGGTCCTGCTGCACAAGAAGATTTTTAGTATGTGTTTGCTGTTCTCAAGACTGCTCAGTGATGTTTTTAGTGCCTGTGGGATGTTGTGGGGTGGCTGACTGAAGCTTTAGAAAAATCACTGTTTTAGGCCAGGCGTGGTTGGTACACGCCTTTAATCCCAGCACTTGGGAGGCAGAGGCAGGCAGATCTCTGTGAGTTCAAGGCCAGCCTGGTCCACATAGTAAGTTCCAGGACAGCTGGGGCTACAGGGAGACCCTGTCTCAAAAAGACCGAAAAAAAAAAAAGAAGAATAAAAGAAAGAAAAAACACTGTCTTGAAGATGTGTATATAACCAATATTTTAAGTGTCACACCCTCAAAGCCACGATTCTTAAGGTGAGATTCCCCAGTCAATACCATCCGACTTGCCTGGGAACATGCTAGAAATACACACTTCAGCTCCAACTCCTGACTCAGAAACTGCTTTCTAATCAACTGGTTGACGATTCTGATGTCCTGAAGTCAGAACTTAGCTCTACGGTGGTGCTTCTTAGTGCTGGCTGATGCTAGAATCACCTGTGAATTAAAAACATACTAATGTTGGGGTTCCACCCCAGAAGGTGGGTTCCGCCAATCCACCCATGGATCTCAGCTTTAGAAAAACCCTGTAGTTCTATCTATCATGCCCAAATTTGTGGGCACTGCCCAGGCCACATAGTACCCCAGTGTTCCTAGGGGCAGGGCCCTGGCATTAGTTTGTCTTTGTAACTCTCGTGGATCATTTCAACATTCCCTCAAGACTGAAAACCACTGCTAGCCATCCTTGAATTTTGTATGGGTAACTGATACTAGGAAAACCCATATGGTTTCAGTATAATGGATTAGGAACACACTAAGCTGAGCTTTACGGACTTATAGTCCCTCTTGCAAAACCAGCTGTGGCGCAAAGTTTGGAAATTTGCCAAAGGTCATGAAGCACTGTTGCCTCAGCCAACGCTCACTACTTCATATTTCAGCTCCCAATGAGAGTCCGTCACTAGTTCCAGCAATCGGTCAGGCCTTTATTCCACAAATACTTTCTGGAAGATTTGCGTGTGTCCCTGCAGTGAGCAAGGCAAGTTTCTACCTTTGTGGAACTTACACCGGATTGTTGAACATTCTTGTTAACATTTCAGTACAGATTCAGAAGTCCATCCTTTACCAGAGAATGCAGAAGGAACTGGTTCCTAAGCATTCGAACCCATCACACAGTGATCATTACAATTGCAGGTGATCCTGGGCTACCTGCAGATGTGGATGCCTGTCCTCGAATCCCAGGACTTCCTGGAGTGCCAGGCCCAAGAGGACCAGAAGGTGCTGTGGGGCTCCCTGGACAGAGAGGTCCCCCGGGTCCAGGTATGAAACTCATTTGTGTGTGTCCCTGCAGTGGGACCATCTGCACCATGTATTGTTGAAGTGAAAATCCAGGTATTTTGTAATATAGCTTTTCAAGTGCTGCCAATGTAACCTGTGCTGATTAAGTGGTGGAAACTTCCTACCCCTTTATATTCTTTCCTACACAGACCCAAAGAGAATTGGACACCAACTGAATGACCCACACATCCTTTCTACTCTTGTGTTGAACTCCCCTTTAAATCTTTTATGTTTGGCCAGCTTCTGGACGTGGGGCTTTGAAGCCTGGTAGCACAGCAGAGTAGGCATCCTGTTATTAGTCTCAAAGTTGTTGGCTTGGTTTTGAACAAAAAAACACATGAATTGAGACTCAGTGGAACAGAAACACTGCCTGTGAGGAAAGGAGATAAATCACTTACAAAAGGGATAGGGAAAGTTTCGTTGCTCTAGATTTTGGCAATGACTGCATTGTTCATTTAATTGATCATTGGCCAATCATTGTCGAGGTGGAAGGACCCTCGTTAGTATATAAAGCAAACTGCTCTGGCAAAAAATATTCTCCAAGTAGCTTGTTTTATTTTTTTCACATTTCTTTCACGTTGGGTAATTTACAGTAAGACTGGGGCGTCCTGGGCTTCTGGAAGCAAGGATCTCTCAGGCCAGTGGCAGTGCCAGAGTCCAGAAAACCTGTGTGCAGATTATCACAAGAGGAGGCTTGAGGCTGGGTCCCCTCTCAGTGCTCTCACTGCCCAACTGTGATATGGGCGCTTTGCAGTTCAGGGCCAAAGAAACTGGAGGTAGAACTGAATTTTGTGCCACTTGTTTTTCTAGTGGTTCTCCAGACCCAAGATGCTAAGTACCCAAGGGAGGTCCCTGTAACTGTCTGGATGGCTCTTGGGTAGAGGCCAAAACAGCTGTGGAGCCTTCCTTGGACGAATATGGGCCTTGTTGTTGGTATTTATTGAATGGTTTCTGTGTTTATACTCAAAGTTAATTGGGTGCCAGCTGTAGAAGTTTCCTTTAACAGCCCCAGAGTGTTGAGAACTGGGACAGTGCTTGCTCAACTTCTTTCTTTGGTACTCACTGCAAGAGCAAAGTTCTCTATCAGTACAACTGATGACTATTTAAAATATGCATATATTTGTAATAGCAAGGGTTAAAAAACAACTTTTAGTAGAAGATGTTACCTATAGGTGGGTATTGAAAGTTCGATTTGGTAAATGCTTCTAGATGTGCTCCATTTTGTGAAGTACGGTACTACTGCAGACAGCAGAAAGGTAAGTAAGATGTGTTTCCCCCCAGCTCTTGCAAACGCATGGCAGAAAATGCTAGCAGGGCATGAGGAACTGAACAGAAGCGGATAGTTCATGTTTTAATGGAATTGCAAGCCAGGTGCATAAGGAGAATGACACAGGGGCAGTGAAACACGTGGAAGATTGCAGGACTGCTAAGATCCAGCAGGGGCAGGCATTTGAGCTGAACAGAGGCTGGGCTTAGAGGGGCCAGGCCTGTCTAACAAGGAGGCAGCAAGAGCATGGACAGGCAGGATGGTCCTTTAACTTGGTAATTAGGAACTGGCTACATCCTTGCTACTTTCAGTAGTTCTAAGGATCAGGAGCAACTCGGTCTTACTTCTAGACCTAGTGAATCAGAATCTGCATTTTAGCAAGATCCCCAGGATATTCATGTACACATTCATCTCGAGACCCAGCTATACTGTACCGCTGCTGTCTTTGAAAAAATTCAGGACAATGAATAGAACACCTATATCAAACTTCTGCCTCCCAAGGCTCAGGATCCATTGTGAAAGGGAAAGACTGTAAGAGCCAGAGAAGGAAACAGTTTTCCAGACAGCTGGTCAGTTACTCATATGAACTCCCAGCAATGGTGACAGGAAGCAGAAGACACTGGTAAGCTCAAGCCAGACAGAATCCCAGCATAGACGAGAGGAAGTGGGTAAGAAATGCCAGCCCTACCCCAGTGCTTTTAAGGCAGAATCAGTCATGAGGATTCCTGGGCTTGCTGGTCAATTAGGGAGCTCCAGGTTCTGTAACTCAGTCCGAAAAAATAAAGTGGAGGGTAATTAAGGACTTCGACTTCTGGTTTCCACAGGGACAAACACATGTACACACGCACATACTTACATACATATACACGTGAACATGTAAGCATACACATACACAAGTTAAAAAATCCTATTATGCAAGCTTAGAAAGAGAAAAAGAAATTAAATACAGTTTTAAAAGGCACAGTTGGCTATGCATCTATTCACTTTTATTTCTGCACGTTTTTAAAGAACCCATCTTACCACACTGTTTTCATGCTGTTGTTCTTACCATGCCATTAGTTTTATGTCATTCCTTATTTTCTGACAATATTGTCTGTGGTGGCTGCAGATTATTGCATTATTTGATTGTGCCATTATTCATTTAACTACCACTTTCATGAATTATTTATTCATTGTTTTGATGCCAGTGCTCTGTAAGAAATAAACGAATCCAACAAGGCTTTGCCCTTGGAGCAGCAGGGCTAGAGGAAAGTGAAGGTATCCACAATAGATAGACACACCAGTGTGCTGAGCAGCAGGATAATTGTAAATGGGGGGGGGGGCGCACTGACACTTAACCTGAAGGCAGGAGAAAGAAGGATGAGGGTCATCCAAAGTCTGGGGTTTCAAACCCTATAAAGCTTCCAAATCCTACTCCCTGCACCCCTCCCCCCAGCTTGTTAACAGACAGGTTGTTTCCTAACCCCAGACTTTCTGGCTTGTTAGGTGTGGAGAGGGCTGAGATTCCTCTTTTCTAAAGAGTTCCCAGGTACTGCTGCTGCTGCTGTTCTGGGGACACCTTAAAGGAAACGCTCCCATTTAAAATGTTCCCATGACTTTTTCCACTATGTAAGCAACTCCTAATGAGAGTCTCTGTGGGTGATGACTATTTCACCCTATAGAGATTATGGAACTCAGCTGCGGTATTCTGGTACATAATCTCTGTGACTCAGTTTCTTCAGCTGATTGTGAAAATTATGAGTTAACTATCACTGAAGCCCTGAGGTCAGTATGTGACAGAATATACAGTGAAGCTACTTGTTACAATTTTCTCTGGTGTTATTTCCTTAACATAAATTCCCTGTATAACATTTCTCGTTTTAAAAATAGACCGATATGGGGCTGGAGAGATGGCTCAGCGGTTAAGAGCACTGACTGCTCTTGCAGAAGACCAGGGTTCAATTCCCAGCCTCCACATGGGGACTATGAATCGTCCTTAACTCCAGTTCCAGGGGAATCTGAAGCCCTCTTCTGACCCCCACAGGCATTGCAGGACAGCGGCACACTCACATATATGCAGGCAATACACTCATATACATAAAAAATTAAAAAAAGACAGAAATAAGAAAAATAATGATTTAAAAAAAGAGAGAGAGAGAGAGAGAGAGAGAGAGAGAGAGAGAGAGAGAGAGATACGGGATTTTCAAATGTATCACCAAGTTCATTGCCAGCCAAAACAAGTGTGGCAAATTTTAAGTTACAGTGCAGAGTGGCTCTCAGAGTGTGTTCCCTGTGACAGCCACAGCAGCAGCATGTGGAAACTTGGTGGAAATGCAGATTCTCAGGGGCCCAGGACGCCCACCTGAGCAGATACTGATTTATAGCCATGTTCCAAGGCGCCATCTAGAACTTTGGGTTTCTGTCCTCAGAAGCAGCAGTGCTTCTGTTATATGGTTTGTCTAATAGTCCCTTACTCCTGGCACTATCAGACAAACCATATAACACATCTTTTTCAGAACTTTTCATAGTTTATATCTTTAGAGGGGAGAGAGTAATTTACAAAGAAATGAACGCCCAACAGCCGGCACCCAGTTCTGCGTGGCTCAGCATGCGGCTCCGGATCGCTTTTGCCCACAGTCGGCCTCATCTCAAGTCCCCGCATGCCCACTCACCCCACACAGTTCCATGAGGGGGTCCACCGGGTCCTCACGAGGTCCCCCAGTGCCCCAAGGGGTCCAGGGCAGTTTGGCTCGCCTGCTCCCTATTCCCTGCTTCCCAGAATGGCACCAAAATCCTGACGTTCCAATCTCTCCCCACACTAGGCTCCACCCATCTTCCCAGGGTGCCCTGCGCTAGCCCACGGCTCTTGACGGGTTTGGGAGGAATAAAGCATTTTCCGGCTACAGCTTGTGTAGCCGTTACATCACCCAAGCAAATTGGAAGGGGAAACCTGGAGCACTCTAGGCTGGTCAGTTACTGGGCCAAGAGTGAACTGCTCAGTCAGGGCCTGAACTGGGGCAGCAGAGATGCAGGGAGGGGCCCCCAGAAGACGACGCAGTGTAGGAAATCCTTTATTCCTGCTATTTGCTAAACTGTGACCCTGTACCCTCTTCAGAGCAGGGGTGGTGCCTGAAGGCATAGGATTTGGCCACTGCCTTAGTCAATTCCTTTACTTGCTGGGCTGAGACAGCTGCATCAGTAAAGCTGGTCTCTTCTAAGGCTCTGGGGAAGGCATCCTAGGAGACTAGGGGTTGACTGACACCCTCCACTTTGTCATCTTCATACCACTGAGGAGGCAGGAGGCAAGTGGAAACCCCACCAAAGTAACCCCTCCTCAATCCCTTTGGCTTAATGACCGGTTTCTAGCTGTGTTTCAGTTTGCTCAGGTTGCTATAACAAAACACCACGGACTAGGGGTTATACAACACAAAAAATTTCCTCCACAGATCAGGAGGTCCACATTGAAGATCAAGGTGTCCACCGGGGTTTAGTTTCTCACTGTGACTTCTCTCCTTGGCTGGAAGATGGCAGCCTTCTCCCTGTGACATTCTGAAATGGGAAGAAAGAGCGTTCCTAGAGGGTTCTTAGTCTCATTCATAAAAGAATTCGAGAATGGATCCAAATGGAAGCTTTAGGACAGTTTTATTAGAATTTTAAAGAAAAATCTTCAGGGCAGGCGAGCTGGTCATCTTGGCAGCTGCCTTGAGGAGGAGGATGGAGGGGAGAAGGAAAGAAAACCATGAAGCCACACAGGTTCAGAGCCTGCATGGAGGTGAGACACGTGGCTGATGGGCAGCCACATGGCTGGGAGAAGGAAGCTTTAGAGAAAAAGTACAGAAATACAAGATGCTAGGGCAGCCCAAAGCCTTAAAGAAAGCATGTTTAGAAGAGGAGTATGAAAACGAGGAGAGATTATGCTTTTCTGAAGAATTCAGAAAAGTGGGCAGACTCACAGAGAGCCAACATGTTTGTGGCCAGGTCCAGAAGCACTGGACTATGAGGTGGGATTCCAGGCAGGAAAAGTTCACTATCTCATTAATGCACTAGGTATTCCATCCATCTATTTAGCATGACTTAAGGTGACCCTGCCTTCCTAGGGGTGGTCCTATGACCAGGTGATTGACCAGTGAAACTGGAAATGTTCCGACAGACTGGAGATTTTATATTCTTGACCAGTTAAACTTATTACTACCTAACAATTCTAAGGACACTCATTCCTGATGTGTTCAGATTTCCTCTTCCTTCAGACACCAGCCAGACTGGCTTACACTCACCCCAAGAGCTTCATTTTGCCGTAATCGTACCTGTAAGTGCCTTTCCTCCAAATACAGGTGTTCTAAGACACTGGAAGTTAGTGCTTCAGTATGAATTTGGAAGAAGGGCAGTGGATACACCAGCTGGTAATAAGCTAATTCATCGGGGAGGGAGATAACAGGTAGACTCTGGAAACATGGAGAGAAGTCCAGTTTTTTGTTTGTTTGAGACAAAGTCTCACTATGTAGACTGGCTGTCTTGTGACTCACTATGTGGACCAGGCTGGCCTCGAACTCAGAGACCCACCCTTTGTCTCCTTGGTGTAAGGGAGTAGTAATCCAGTTAACTGTGGCTAATGGCAGAAATGCCCCCCCCACCCCCCAAGATGCCTACCACTCTGACCACGTGGAGACTGGGGCTAATGAACTGATACTTGAATAGTTTTTTAAAAAAAGGAAACAGAAGGCTCATCAGGTAAAGGTGCCTGCCCCCAAGACTGATGAGTTGAGTTCTGTCCTTGGAACCCACATGGTGGGGAGAATTGACTACTGAAAGTTGTTCTCTGACCTCTGCATGCAAGCTGCCTGCACACACACAAACACAAAATATGTGTAAAAAATTGAGAATTAGGGAAAAAAGGCAGCCAAACACTTAAAGAACCTGCAAGACTGGTGTGACTCGGTCAAGGTCCTTTCAGCATGTGCAGAGGTGGGGGCTGGGGTTGACTGGCACCACCTCTGCCTTTATTACCCTGGGTAGGCCATGTGCACTTTCCATGTTTGCTAGGCTCTGAGCTTATCTGCCTCCTGCTGTGGGAGCAGAGCTGGCCATCTATGGCTGCTATGAAGACTGAATTGAATAATTTGTGCAAAGGGGTTAATATGGAACCAACACATTGGAAACCCCCAATGAAAAGCCATTTAAAAATTGCTCTTATCTAGTTCCAAATTTAACTTGACACCTCTTCTACTGAATCTTATTATACTGGATTCACTTCTCTATCCAGGTTTTAAAAAAAAAAATCATCATGAGGGATAATTTGATTATAAAGACTTTACACAGGCAACATCTTTTATATATAATGAAATGGGAAAGCCTGCCTCTCCACACCTACTTGGTCTAGGGCTCCAGATCTGGCCTAGCCTTTACCAGATCATGGCTTAACCAGGGTCAAATTGCCATACCTCTCAGGGATGCAGTCAACCCAGATGCCTAGCAGAGGTTGGTAACCCTGATATCATATGGTTGGGTAGACTGAATGAGCTGGTTCAATGTAGTCAAAGGAAGAAGGAAGCCCAGGATGGGCATGTGGGATGCATATACACTAGTTTTCACCACCACTGTCATGAATTTTCCTGCAGGGTGCAAAGGAGAGCCTGGGCTGGATGGCAGGAGGGGCCAGGATGGTGTCCCTGGATCTCCTGGGTCTCCTGGACCCAAAGGAGATACTGGAGAGTCTGGCCGCCCAGGAGCACCAGGTAGATGTTCCCTTTCTTCTCTTTTCTATGACTGCAGACCTGAGAACTGCTCTAAGTCTTCACCCACAAGGACTTCTGTTTGCCTTACAAACAGCCCAGCAGGTATTGGGGCAGGGATTTTCCCATTTTCTCTTTTATGCTAATGTATCCCACACCAGGGAATTGTTTTCATCCTCAGTAGCCATGGGGGTTTGGTTCTAAGAAGTCCCTTTCCCCAACAGGGACCCCAAAATCTTGGGCTGCTTAAGGCTCTCTTCTAAGCATGTTTGCACATAACTTGCATACATCCTCCCATATGCTCTGTGTGCGTGTGTGTGGTGTACATTTTGTGTACATGTAGGTGTGTGAGGCCAGAGGTTTTCCTTAATTGCTGTCCATTTTATTTTTATTTTATTATTTCATATTTTATTTATTCTTATATTTATTTTATATGTA